CGTGAATTTTTCTTTTCACTAATGGATAGGTAAACTTTTAACAATCTGTCAAATGCTTGATAAAAATATTCACAGATTTCATATTAATTACTTCATCATATTTTAATTTTAGCGCTACAAAAGGGCAATACTTTATTCTTTTAGTACCTTTTATCTCTCTTTTTAAATTTCTCTTTTTAGTCAATCCCTGAAGTACTCATTGCATCGAAGATTTATCCTTCTTTGTACTTGAAAGATTTATGTATCTCCCATTAAAATTTTCACTTGATTTATAAGATTTCTAGTATATTATTCCAAGGGATCAAAGGGGTAATCTAGTTCTTTAGATCTTGACTGGACCCAGTGGAGCTTTGTTGGAGCCATTAGATGTGGCTGTTTGAAAAATCGAGTCAAAACTGTTGAAACTTTATTTTAGAGAATAATGGATAAGCATTAGAAGTAGAATATCAGAAATACTGGTTCACAATCTGATCTCTCATTTCATGGAGTATAAGATCAAATTTCGACTATTATTTCCCTAGTTACCTTAGCCATAAAATTAAACCCGGTCTTTTAGGCACCATATACACAAATATATCAAGAGCTTGAGAGATTTCTATGGACATATGGCACATTTCTATTAGGATACTTTTGCTCTATATTATAATTTCAATCTTTTTTTCCCTTCTATAGTATATGGATGACTGCTGAAGATGTCTATAATTTTAACAGGGAGAGCCCGTATGTGTTTTTTATTCTCGCTATGGGATCTGCAAATTTGGTCCTAACTGCAAGTTCGACCATCCCATGGGTACTTTCGCATATGGTGTTTCAGCATCCTCCGCCACCGGAGTTCCAACCGCTTGGCACCTACTGGGATCCTCATTGGAGCCTCCTACTCTGGCACCACCACCATCCCAAGGGACCGCAAATGGCAGCTCAGGAGCATCAAGACGGATATCGATATCGGAATCTCGGCACACAGCTGCTGGGGATGAGAACGAAGAGGCAGAGTCGTAGCCGGTTCCTGAACAAGCATTTGCAGGCTCCTTTTTTTCTCATTCAGCTACCCTGGATAAGTCCGTAACATCCAGCTTCCATGGCTGGAGATGTACAGTCCTTTTGTTGTCAGCTGAAAATTTTTCACCCGAAGATGTATCCACTTGGTGGCAAACAAGAATTGCCCTATTTAAATACGCCTCATCTCATAAGCTTCAGTTATGTGCCATCGTGGGGAATGTGAAATGCCCCTTCACATTGGATGTTTTATTCGCTTCCTCCTGGTGTGGCTTCTTCCCCACTTTTGCAGTCGCAGAGTGCTCTTTTTCTGGCTTCTTTTAATTTCTCCATCTTAAATTATCACTTTTTACCACATCTCTTTGACGTTCTGTTATATATTGTTCATAACAGTTTATTTGTTGCATCCAAAATATGTTTATACGTCACGAGGTACATTTATATATGCATAGTTCTTGATAACAACTGTTCCCGCTCAAATCCCCAGTCCTTCGCATCCCAAGATTACCCTCATCATAAGCCCACGTATCCAAAAACCGGAGGGTATTTAAGTAACTTCGTCACAGTTAGAGCAATTAGAGTTCATATGCTTTTATATCCAATCAAAAGACAGGCAACTGTCTTTCTTTTACTGGCTTCATCTACCGTCTGATTCCAGAATGCACATATCCAACGGTGGACGATTCCCGTAGAGGAGAAGAGAGAAAAGTGAAGCGCGCTCACTATCTGTTATATTCCCGCATCGCTGCCGGACTTCCATAGTCACCAATATTCGTTCTCTCTTTTCGACGTTGCGATGAGGGGACAGGCGGTGGTGGTGGCGACGGCGGTAGTGGTGGTGGTGGTGGTGGGGATAATTAGAGGGTCGGAGAAGGAGGTGACGTGGTGCGTCGCGCGGAGTGAGGCGGGGGCGATGGCGCTGGAGGCGGCGATGGACCAAGTGTGCGGGTCCGGGGTCGTGGACTGCTCGCCGGTGCAGCCCAACGGCCTCTGCTACCTCCCCAACACGCTGCCCTCCCACGCCTCCTACGCCTTCAACAGCTACTACCAGCGCTCCAACGCCAACCCCGCCGCCTGCGACTTCCATGGCACCGCCACCGTTACCATCTCGAACCCCAGTCAGTGCTCTCTCTCTATCTCTCCCTCTATGTCTCTCCTTCTCCTTATTTCTGCCGCGGTGATGGATGGAGTGTATGCCTGAAATTGACTACTGCCGTCGGAATTCTTCAGATGCACACTATGGCGAGTTTGTAGATTCCCCTGTCCGTAGTCTTCACCTCCGGGGAAAAAAATAAACAGGAATTACAACCCTGCAAATTTTTGTAAGCAAATAATATATGTGAAAATTAAGAAAAAAAACCATGTCGAAGTTTTATATTTTCCTAAAAGGATATGTAGGATATATTCAATTTTCAACAAACATGTAGAGTTGTATACATTATATTCTCAATTCTGGAGACTCAATATGTATTTATTGATTTTCCAAGAAAAATAGTAAAAAGAACTTTAGAAATATTTGTATTTCTCATATGACTTCATATGATTATTGTCTGAATTTTTTTTTACTGTAGGGGTTCTTCTTGTAGGAATTGGTAACAGTGGTTTGAGATGAAAATGGGCATTTAAAGGATGATATGTTAAATTGATTTTTCTTGTTAAACTTTGCTTCAGGTTATGGATCCTGCACGTACCCTTCATCCATAAGGTATGTCATACTTGCTTACTAAACATAAAGTTACAAGCTCTTTTTAGAAAGAATGAAGAATTTATTTTAAGACATTGTGTTTTGAATCAACTCATTCGGTACCAGTTCTGAAACTGGTAGATAGTGCGGTATATGGACTCCCACCGCCTGTTATTACTGAGAAATAATAAAAAAATAAACACCAATTGATAAGAAACTACATGTAGTATCATCTTTTTTTAATCAGATGGGTAAAGATCATATGGTACATATTGATCTGATTGGTTTTCAGAACTAAGTTGTGAATAATGTCTGCTTGTGATTTGTTACTCGTGTACGTTATGGCTAATTGGTTAGTATATCTATGTTTTGAACATGTTAAGCTACTTTGGTGCATGTACACACACACACACACGCACATTGACATGGACCATCTTGAAGTATCTTATGTCATCAGGTGTGTTTTGTCTAAGTTTCGACCATCTCAAGCTGCATTTTATGATTATCTGATTCTTCCTTTGTCTTGGCCATTGTTATTAGCTCGTACGGAGGTGGTGTTAATTTTCGGGTGTTTCCTCATTTTAGGACTGAAGTTTTCAGATGATGGATTTTTTGGATCATTGATCCTAAATCTATATATCCTGCAGCTCTTGTTAGTCTGATACCTGACCTGAAGCTAATTGAAACTCGTGAATTCTCATTTTAGATCAGTAAGGTCGCATTCAAGTTCACAATCACTGTTTAGCGTGCTATATACTTCAAAGACTTAGATATGTTTTTTTCTAGAGTAATGGTTTTGCATTGCCATTTAAAAGTTTGTAATCCCAATATGATGTTACAGTTGACAACATTAGTTTTTCCAACCTAAATAAAGCTCCTTTAATCTTTCTCTTTTCTCCCTCAACTCTCTCTGTCAACTCTTTCTCTCGTTTTAATTTTCACTGCCAAAATCCACTTATGTATCACAACAGAGCCCCTGTTTGTGATTCCTTTGTTTCGATATGGTTAAGGTTGCTAGAGACACAATAATGTAGGCCAACGATCTGTTTTATACACTGTGTGAGATATTGATGATCCATAGGATGATTGTTTTGTCCTTTAAAAAAGCACCTCAGTTGAAAAGGTTGCATCATTGCTTAAAAATCACATGCTTCCTCAACTCTCCACTATGTGAGATCTTTGCATGCTTTCGATACTTATACCACAATGCAGGTGATGTTTATGATTTGACAGTAAAACCTTAATTTACATGAACCAATAGACTTTAGGCAAACTCCTGATTGTCTGTAAACAAACGAGTTTGTTTGTTAACTATCACAAGTGTTACAGTATTGTATCGTCGTCGTTATGATTTATGATACGCAGGATATGTTTTTCCTTCTGTTCTTGCTTCTCATATAAATCGAGTCATTCTAATATTAAACACAACAGTTGTTCTTGTTGATGATGTTTTGTTCTGTAAGTCTATTACGAACTACTTATTCTGCAGTAGAACTACATCTATAGTCTTCCTTTTTATTTAGCCAGATCTGTTTGGGACATCAATTAAGTTTAAGGGAAATCATATGAGCTACAAAGTCTGATCACGTTCCTTCTTCACACACATTAATGATTTCCAAAGATAACCATTTATTGATGGGTCACAAGTCCAAGCATATCTATATTTTCCTACCGAAGCATCAATCTGCATCAAAAACAAAAGACTTCTGATTGTAACAGTGCATGTCTTGGTTACAGCACAGCAGGTGGCTTAATAAGTACACCAAACGCCGGTGGTGGTGATGATGTCGGTGACGGTGGTAGGCTGAATCCTCCAGTGGTCGGTTCGACGGTGCCTGCTATCGACATGGCTGTTGCTTCTCATTTGTGCCGCCCGCTTTTGCTAGTCGTGTGCCTCTGCTTCGTCTCACTGCTCTTCTGAAAGACTAGCTTAGGCCTCTTGACACCACATTGTTGTATCTGCCACTCTTTTGTTCGAGAATTGGTAGGGTTGGTGAAACTGTGTTGATCTTGCCACCTTCAAAGGCTTGTAGAAAGGAACAAGACATCCGATGTAGCATCTTCTTTACTGTGCAACCTCTTTCTTTCTCGGATGCAACTTTACGGATTGTAATCATAATGTTAAATAAAGATATTGTCTTGTACAAAATTGATCTCGGATAGTTAAGACATTATGACTTATCAATATAGTTATCGTTGAGTTATGATTACAAGCTTAAACATACATGTGGACTTGTTTGTGGCCGTTGACATTTATGCAGTCTCTTTTATTTAGTACATAGAGAGGCATAACATGTTCAAGCTTGCATGGAGATTCCAAAGACAGCAAACAAGAGAGTCGAGTTCAAATCACATATAGAGATTTCTACAGTGCAGAGTCATCGGGAATCACTTCGTCTCCTCCTCTGCTACGCGATCGAGTAGACGTAGGACTACTTAGCGGATGTGGATGTGGACGCCGACGGCGACGACGAAGATGGTGATGAGAGCGAAGTAGAGGACGGCATGGACGATGATGGCGACGCCGTTGGTCTTGAAGCTGCCGAACTCCACCGCCCGTTCGTTGCCCGGCAGCTGAAACAGCACCCCCGGCGTCAGCAGCACGAACAGCAGCACCGCCACCGCCACCGGCCCCCAGTCCGCCATCTTCCTCCCGCCCGCTGTGTGGTTGTCGGTACGCCTTCTCCTTCATCTCCACCTCCATTATTTGAAGAGAAGATGAGAACAGGATGTTGCTTTCTCTTTCTCGCTCTTCATTAAAATGCAACGCGGGGATTGCCATTCATTCATCTGTGTGACGGTGGCTTGTGTGGCTCTTTGTGACATTTAATTTTGCCAATATGTATATTTCATATTATTTATTTTTAAGATATAAATATATATATAATAATTTTTTTAAAACAATTAAAGATATTTTATAATGATCGATTGTACTAAGAAACGATATACCTATCAAATTAAAAGTATAGGCGTTAGTTAAAAACCCGAATTATTGATTTATAATAATTTTTAGAATAATTTATAAAAAAATGTTTGATATAATTTTTTTATAAAATAAACTTTACTAACCCTAAAAATTCATCTTGATTTTATCATTAATTTTTTAGTAATTTATTTTAAAAATCAAACGAATTGATTATTCTAGAAGAAAATAAATACCTTATTATTTTATCTGACAAAATAATTTTTAATTATCATGAAATTTTATAAAAAGATTAGGATACATATAAAACTAAATATATATTAAATTTTAACTTAAGGTGTGGACATGAGTCGATGGAAAGTCGAGAACATCGTAGATATTAGAGACACCTAATAAGAAATCTCAAAATATTTTTTTTGAAAAAAAATCAAAAAGAAAATCTTTTTTTTGAAGAAATCGATTCTCAGAAATAAATATATATGTATATATTCTAAATACAAGAGGTACAAATTAAATGGCGGTCAAAATTAAGTCCTCTTAGTGCTTGCAAATATGTGAGCATTGTGCACACCACACTGTAAAGAAATGAAGACTTCATCTTTGAAGCCCAAGAATGAAGAGACACCCCAATAGGATTTGGCTTACAACAAAGCTTATTATTAGAACAACAACAACTACTACTACCGATATGACAAATGATCCTTTTCCAATAATGTGTTGGGTGAATAGAGCTCAGGCAGACTTCAGCAGCTTCTTGAACCAGTCGACTGAGTTCTTCGGATATCTCTTAAGGTTGTCATTGTAATCTATGAAGTAGAGGCCAAATCTAGATGTGTATCCTGCGGCCCATTCCCAGTTGTCGAGAAGAGACCACGCAAAGTACCCCTGCACATTGCAGCCATCTTGCCTGCATGATAGAATACCAAAAAGTAGATGGTTTAGGTGCAGTGCAGTAAATGTCATTAGTTCCATCTCTCTCTCTCTCTCTCTCTCTCTCTCTCTCTCTAAGCAAGTGTCAAAGTTGAGATTGGACTGAATCGAATCAGCTATGGCACCACCAACATCAAAGATCCCTTAACAATCCATACTAAGATCTGTAAAATGTACTTTATAAAAAGTATGAATCAAATCAAGTAAAAGGTGTTAAAGATTTGATTTACCTCAGCTTGAAGATTTGGAAATTATTTTATAAAAAGCACAAAGATTTGATGTATCTAATCCGCTTATCTAAGGTTGAGAATTCAAAACCTCATCCTATAAATTTTTTTTTTGGAAGGAAAAAGAAAAATTAAATTTACATGTCTGATTGTGTTTTCAATATGATTGAAGGATAATACTAGAGCAAGAAGCTCTTGCCAATGTGAGATTTGGATTGGATCAATGAATAGATATGTTATGTTTCAGATCTCAAAGGAGTAATTTCACCATTGTGTTAATGCTTACCTTTTGAATTTCTAATGCAATCCTACTATTTAATCATATACCGCGATGGCTTACCTTATGGAGGCAGACAAGTTCGATAGATAATCATTGTGGTATCTGATTCGCTTATCGTCCTTGAGAGCATCCTTAATCGAGATAAATGGATTGTTGAAATCATCCATCCCTTCGCATTGGCCACAAAATTGTTAGCTTCCAAAAATTAATGCATGTAGGAGGAAATCTTGAACACATTGAGAAGCATGAGACTTACCGTTCTCTGTGATGATAACCACAGGATTTCCATACCTCTGCTTGATGTAGTTCATCAACCTTCTTATCCCTTGAGGTACAATGTAGAGCCATATCGAAGAAGCCTGCACTCCAAAATCATCATATGGTTCGATGACAGCATCATTTTTCAAGCTTATACACTTAACATAGAAAATTGTAAGCTAAAACATAAGAATTGGAAGTAGTATAAGTTTATAAATAGTTGATAGATTGAAGATGTATCTGCCCCAGTATTGTCAATGAGAATTACCCTATCTCCAATTGCCTTTCCATCCTTGAAAGCTGCATGATGAGAAGAAATAGTTAATATGAGAATTTCTAAAGAGAGAACGATGCTTATATTTCCTTTAATTCAAGTTCGGACATGTCTTAAGGAGATCTACGGATGTTATAGTTAGGTGAGGTATAATCATTAGTAGTAAGAGAAGCGATAGAGTGACCTAAAGACATCCCCGGATAGTTAGGACTTTATGGATGATGCATTGTCTTTTTGGTAACTCTCTCTATGAGGAAGACAACCTAAACCACTTCTGATCAATCCCTAAAACAACATGTGCATAACAACTATGCATCATAAGTAAATCTTCATGGAATGAAGTGGACTTACGAAGAGTGATGGCACCAGAATCTGCGAGGGTATCATTGAGGAGTATTCCAATTATATTGGTTGAATTATGCTTGGCATAGTATGTGGTGTAATGGTTTACTCCCACAAAATCCAATGACCCCTTAACCAGAGCAGCCTCAGCTGTGGAGAACTTGGGTAGCCTGTTTCCGACTCTTGTCCTCATTGAACTTGGATAATCCCCAAAGAACAGAGGATCCATGAACCTGTTATTTGATTGAAGCAGGTAGGTTTTAGTAGATATTTGAATGCATGTACTTCATCATATGTCTTTGCATATATTAATTATGCTGAACTAACATTTTATGCCGAGTATAAAACACCAAAATGTAGTAGCAGAATAAAGTTGTTAAACCACTTCAAGATCAGAAATAGTAGAACACATAAGCAGAAAGAGTGGCCTCACCATCCAAACTGAAAGTCTTGTGCTCTTTGGGTGGCATCAATGTCAGTGGGGGAATCTGACATGGGTTCAAACCACATTGCATCAAAAGCTATGCCTACTGATCCTTGTTGATTTTGCTGCATATCAGCAATGATGCTTTTGGTCAATTATATGTAAATGTGCATTCAAAATCAAATTTGATAAACTTGATATTAATCATTACCATCGCAAGCTTTTTGAGTCGCGAGGAATTTTTTTGCTGTGGTGAGCCCATACGTCTTTTAAATCAATTCATCTTTGGCTCTTTATTAGGATCTGACTCTCCAACTCTACAACTAATATGAGACTAAATATGGGCATGAGAGGGGGAGCCAAAGTCTCTTCTAACCCCATGACAATCCCTTTGAGCTATAAATAATTATCGGCTCTATGTCGAAAGATGGATCCCGAAAAGCACCTCTTGGAGTGGATTCATTTTCGCTCCTTATGAGGTTTTTGCTCCCAACTCTCCAACCCATTATCATTATGAGACTAAACATGATCTTCAACATCAAAGCATGCATTGTTAAGAAACTCAGCATCTCTTACTGCAATTCGATTGGTTTCTAAACTTCCAATGGCATGCAAAACTGTTGTGAGAATGGAATTGGCAGCAAAAATGTTGTCATACCTTGTACTTCCTCCTGTAGATGTCAGATACAGTGGCATGTGAGAGAAGAACATTATGGGCAACAACATATGGCTCTGTTGCTGAATTCCCTGCTCTGCAGAACAACAGAAGGGGAATGGAGCAGCGGCCGGGGGCTTGCAGTCCCACATCAAAGCCTTGAACTGCGAAGGTGTGGGGCTCATTAAGGGTCATCCAGTGCTTGACTCTGTCCCCAAATGCCTTAAAGCATGTCTCTGCATAGTTTGCATAGTCCTCTCTGCAATTGTCACAATGTATCATTCACACATGCAAAGTCATTTATGTAACTAAAGACAAGAATCATGTACACCTGTTTTACATGAATCAGAAGATATCTGATGTCTTTACCATGGACTTGAACCTATGCTAGAAGCAATTCAGAAAGTGTGGAGCATTTGTAGTTATAAAGCTTGCATTTTTTTTTTTCTATTTTAATAAAATTTCTATTACATTACTGTGTCTTTTTCATGTTTTATAAGTTTCCATATGGAAACATCTACTACAATCTTACCAAGATTTTCTAAGAAAACATTAAGAAAGTTTCTTTTTGATTGAAGTTCTATAGCAATGAAATATATCAAAGATATATATCATCAAATCTAAAATTTTAATTTTTTTTCGGAGAAAGATGTTAGCCGGCTCTGACTTAACAATTAAATCCTTGGAGCTACTTTTCTATCACCGTTTGGCACAGCTCAAAATACAAGTCTGATAGCTTTAAAACCTCACATAATCTGGCGATCAAGCCATCCATTGTATCTATCAGCTAAGGCTTGAGGAAGGTCCCAGTGATATAGAGTCACATACGGTTCGATCCCTGCAAATCGATAATTATTAGAGATTATATGATACCAACTATAACAATTTGCAAGTTCATAAAGAGTTTCTCTTGTGATAATCGATTACCATTAGCTAGCAAAGCATCGATTAACTTATTGTAATGGTCGATCCCTGCCTGATTAACCACACCAGTACCATCTGCAAATACATCAAAAGAAAACAGTCTTGTCAGATGCAAAATTTGCTTGACCTGAGAACAACATCATGCTCTATGCTCAAAGTTCTAATCTCCCTTCTCTGTGTCTTCTGCAAATTCCATTTTTATGGTTTTGTTGTTGTTGTTATTTGTTCTTGTTGACTCTTTTTTGCATGTCCTCCTTAGAAGTTTTCATCTAGTTTTGACTAAGACATCATTAAACTCGTAATCCTCTTTCATAGATGCAAGTCGACATCCAAAATGACCTTCCTACAATAAAGAGGAATCATACTGAACAAAGTCATGAGATTGATTCTTTTCAGAGTTCTTAAGATAAGCCTAGAATTTCTTTTTATGCTAAGTTATTCCTACCTAATTATGCCGATGATGAATAGTTGTGAACTTGCATGACTCTGTGTTGCTCATAAATGTCTGATAATATAATTTTCAGAAAGCTATCACATACCAAGTAATAAGCAACTAAGGAAATGGTACGAAAATAATCCATTAAAAGCATATACATTAAAGAAATGGTATGGAAATTGTGATTGAGAGAGTGAGTTATTACTAGGGAAAATTCGTGACCATGCGATAGAAAACCTATAAGCATCCATTCCCATGTCTTTCATAAGTTGAATATCCTCCTGTCATTGCAATCGACAAGGATGTCAGTGCTACAGATCACAGAATAGCAGGAGCTTTTGGTGAAGATGAAGTACATGGTACCGATGGTATTGATCAACAGCGACGTCGGCGTTGCTGAAATCGATCACCTTCCCTGCAAAACTCAATACGAGCAAGCTTTTCTACTGATAACATTCGTTGACATGTCATAGTTGAATGCTTGTTAGAAGAAGAAAAGCTTGCATAGTTGGATAATGGGGCTTTTCCTCTCAAGGAGGCGTGAAATGAAGACTAATGGCGTACCGAAGGAATGAGCAAAGGCATCCCACACCGTTCTCCCTCTTCCATCCTCCTTCACTGCTCCTTCGTACTGAGAAGAAAGGATAACATTTGGAGGAGATGCATTCAATGGTTAAGCATAACTATTACTCTTCTTCCATTCATTCTAATGATTTGTTTTCTCAGCTCTGGTGCTTATCATTGCTTTGCTTACTGTTATTAATCTCTTTAGCATTCTTATTCCTTTAATAGCTGAAATCAAAACACGGAAAACGAAGAAAGAAATCGTACCATGTAAAATAGAGAGCTATGAGTGGAAAGAGAACACAAATCCTTCATTGATATCTCATACATAGCAAAATAGATACAGTGTCTCCAAGGAAGAAGGTCAAACAATCACCTGGTAAGATGATGAAGCAGTTCCAAAGACGAACCCCTTGGGAAAACTCCCTCTGCTCAGTCCTCCACTCTGTGCCAAACTCTTCTCTGCCCCAAACACCACCAGAAGAACCACAAAAACAAGACTTCTCTCCAACAACATTGTTCTCTCAGTGCAAATGTATGCATAGAGAGAGAGGGAGAGAGATTATAGATGAGAATGCGGCATCTACAACTGATGGGATATGTATTTATGTCGAGGAGAGACGGTGGGAACCAGCTGACAAACCCCACGACTCTTCTTGTCATTTCTTCCTCGTTTTCCTTGCCTAGCCGTGCGAGTGGGAATTCCTTGTGTATCACAACAGGGTGATGAATGGCCTACAAATTAGTCGGCAATTATTGCTCCCTCGTACCTTTTGTGACCATGTAAACTGCGCAATGCTATTGGCTGTTAGCTTATCAGTCCATATCGATGTTTCTTATGGATGCTGTCACACTCGGCTGCAGGTAAAAGAATCGCAGGAGACCTGTCTGTAGTTCCCTAGAAAGAGATGATGCTGGAGATGATTCCTAGTGGAGGGGGCATTAAATTAGCTCAAGTGGGACAAGGCCGACGGTAGTTTATGTTCACATCGAAGGTCCAAGCGTTGGGTTGAAGCTTCTGCAAGGAGACACTACTGGATGTGAACTCCTTCCCACATGTGATCGTTCCTATGGACCATCTCGCTGCAAGGAAACAGGTCATGGCCGAGCTTAAAAAGATTTGTTCTTTAGCACATCATTTAGGATTCTGACATGTTACTGTGGAGGACATACAGATTACGTGAATATAACCCCCAGAAAATGCAAAGGCAACACGCAAAGAAGGACATTTCTTGGTTGTCTTACCAATTAGGAGTGCTGCAGACGCCCCACCACCGTCGGTAGACAAGTGAAACTATCATTTCCTCCTCATACCAACTATCATTTCCTCCTCTGAGAAGAGATAAACACGATGCCTAACCTGTGTTCTTGTTGCAGAGTTTGGAGCCATCACAGAAAGAAGTCTTGTCTGAAAGCTTATCTTTGCTGTCAAGCAAAGTAGGGGCTGGCAGAATCCAAGGAATCAGTTTCTTTCTGTGGTGCAATGCATGACACTGTTTCACTACCCAAAGCTGTCTGCATGCATCTTTTGCTGTGTACAAAAGGGAAAGATTACTTGCCTGAGTCCAATTTGCTGTGTGACACAGCCCATGAGCTTTCCAGGTTCAGGTCTGAAAGCTCGAGGTGTCCAGCGGACTACAGAGGGATCTGAAGCAGAAAGATCTGTTGACATTGTGCTTCTGGCTGCTAACATAAGGACAGACCAAAGACTGTGAAAGTCAACAAATAGACTGCCTGCAATCCATTCTATCAGTAGCTATCCATCCATGTTTAGATTTGATTTATACTCTTTGGGAATCATCTTCAGAAAAAAGAGCTGCAACATTTTGCAGTGGGACAACTCAAAATCATTGGCCTCAGTTATCTTGTCTAAGACGATTCATGTTGACTCCTCATCTGAATTGGTCTTAACAGTAACATAGAGTGAGTTTGACTTATCACATCAGAGTCAACTTGACTAAGGTAATGTTACTCTGATCAGATAATCTAAAAGTAATTTGGTACATATGCACAATTATAATCGCCCGAGGCTGAGCGTCGTCGATCTCAAGATAAGATCTGCACGTTCTTGCGCCTTGTTCCGCAGCTCCACCATCGCCTTCTCGAGCTCTCGCAGATCCTCCACCCTGAGATGATCGAGCGACTTGTTCCACCAGAACCGTTGGTCTTCCAGTATGCTGGCCTTCGTCACCGTTTCTTCTCCGATCATCCTGCTGCTCGTCGCGGCTTCTTTGCCGGCTTTGGGCGTCGTAACCAGATCCAGCGTTGGGCCGCTGCCATGCAAAACGCCCAAAGTCGTGGCTGGGCTGTCTACTGGCACTACTGCTGCAACCTCTCCTCCTTGTTCTTCTTCTTTGCCCGAGTCGATGGGATGCCCATCGCGTACGTAGCGGCGGATGACGGTGTCGATATCGGGGTTTGCGAAGGCGAAGGCGTTGCCGACGGAAGACATGGCAATGATGGCCATGTCGTAGCCTTGAGAGCAGAGGTAGGAGGCCTTCCTGTACAGCCCCTTGCGGCGCTTGGAGAAGGTTATCTGCCGGCGGCTCTTCTTGTCGATCATCGTGAAGGGGAGCTTTCGCCTTCGCATGGTGCTAATGCCTAATTATCGATGTAGAAATCAGAGAAAAAGGCAAAGCTTTTAGTAATAGAAAGAGAGAGAAAGAGTAGCCGGCGTTTCTAATGCGATATCTGTTAGGGTTCTGTTAGGGTTATAAGTATTTAGAGAAATATTTAGATTTTAAATATTAAAAAAAGTTCAATTAAAATTAAGATTTTGATTAGAAATCAATTGTTAGAGAATTAAGATTTATAAAAAACTTTTATATTACAGTGGTTAATACTTTAGATTTAAAATTTATTAGATTAAGTGTCAGTTTAGTTGGTAATGACTTTGACAATTTATCGTAACATTTTGGGTTTGAATCCTCTTAATAGTATTAATATGATATGTTCAAAAAAATACTAACCAAGATGTATTTAAGAGTCATAATTAGACTTTAATTATTTATGAGGAGTCCTGATTAGATTTAAATTCTCGATGATTTAGAATTAGAATTTAGATTATAAATCAAAACTATAAACAGTAGTCTTTAAGAATTAAGATTTATTCTGATAAATATAAATTTTAATATTTTGATGAGAGGAAATAAAATAAAGGATGATATTTTGTGCTCCTACGTTTCTCTCTGTTAGATTTAGAGAAAATTATCTCTAACTCATTCGTGGAGATTAAACTAGGTGTAGTTACAATCTAATTAGGAATCTAAATTGTCAGCATACATGAATTATATAATTATGTCTTATCTAATAAAATATTTATAATTAGTTTTAGTTAAACATTAATCAACAAATTAAATACATGAGAATTCTAAATCGATTTATTAATGTATGAAAAATTATAATATAATTATTTATTTATATTAAATGTAAGAAGTTTATGAATCACCTTAACTGATTATAACTAGGTCTAATTACTCTCAAATTGATCTTAAAAATATGATAATGATCTTAAATTATAGTGAATCACAGTAGTTGTGCTTAACTTTCTATGATTAACCTAATTACATCCAAATTGACTCTAAAAGAATGTAATAATCCTAATTATAAAGAATGAAACTAATTATCACCTTGTGATCATGGGTTTAAGTCATATAATCCCCTTTATATTTATAAAATATCTAAATTTAAAAGATAAATTCTCAAATGAAAAAGAGATTACATTGACTTCCGGTCAAGGATTTTAGTCCATTATTATTTAAAAGATAAGATTATTCTAGTCAATTATGCCTTTGTACTATTACTTTTGCTTTTGTTTTTTTCTTAGTCCTCTTTGCTCATTGTTCATCTTCACCTTCGTTGTTTCTTTTTGGCCCTCATTGTTATCTCTACCCTTGCATATAAAGGGAGCCAAGGACACCCTGCTTGATAATGATACGATGCAAGACAAATGAGAGCAAGGGTGGAAGCAACGACGATAAAATCAGATAAGGGACAAAGAGAATACAGTGATGAGAGACACGAGCGATAAGGCGAATGTCACCGCACAAAGACAACAAGAACTCGTGGCAATCCAAAGACAGTTAGTGGTCACAAAGGATGGAGGCAACCACAATAGATGTATAATCTCATCCTTTACAAAATAAAAGATGTTTTATTGAAATAAATAAAAATAAATTAAAAAAAGAGGGTAAAAACTTGAGGATATTTTTTTTATTTTGCCCAAACTGAAACTTACTTAAATTTAATTTAATTTTTTAATTTTCTAATTACCCAACTAGTTGGAACTTCATTAAACCTCATTTTATGAGCTAACAAAGGGAAAATATATGCTTAGATTGGTGGCTACAAATTTCCAGTTATAATATCATCAAATTAACTTTTTATTACTTATAAGTACTTATTTAAAAAATAATAATATTATATATAATCTAAAAAATTAGATTTTTTGCATACACTTTTTATAAATCTTATTTCTTTCATTGGAATATTACATGATATTGTGCCTTCTTTTTTTTTGGTAAGTGATATGTGTCTTCTTTTTAGTGCACAAAGAACTTCTGTCTCTTAAGAGATAAAAAAATATATTTAAAAAAAAGAGGAAGACATAAGAGACCAAAATTTGTAAAAAAAAGTTAAAATAAAAGAAAGAGCCGAAGAATAATAATAATAATAATAATAATAATAATAATCTACCAACCAGAAATAAAGTATATGAAAATAATGGGACGAAGGAAAAGCTACTATTGCACATCTGGACCAGCCCTCGAATACCGAATTTTGATGCGACGCCAGCACATCACACCTACCCTTGGCAGCACAGTAACACGAAACGGACGAGAGAACAGGACGCCGTGGCCCCCCCATTCCCACCTCCCTCGGTACGTGCCGCACGCCGTCCCCGATTCCCACACATGCCCACCGAAAGATGCCTCGCCTCCGTCCCCAAAGAATCCAGAGAGACGGGCAGAAGAGCTATGCGAGACGCAAGGGTGGGTTCGTTTGGTGGGTGGGTGAGTGGGGATCCTGTCCGATTGTACATTTGAAACGCGGTGCTGCAATTTCGGTTCCTGACATCTCGACCGTCCATTTATCTTCGATCTCCGTGAACAGCGCGTGGGTGCGGATCCTGTGCGATAGTACATTCTAAAGGCAATGCTACAATTTCAGTTTCTGGCATCTCAGCCGTCCATTTGTGCTGGATCGAGGTGAGCAGTGTTTTGAGATGCGTGCGAGGCAAGGCGTCGGTGGGGATCAACATCCTGTCTGTCTAATGGATTTTAAACGCAGTGCTACAATCGCACTTTCCGGCATCTCGACCGTCCATTTATGTTAGATCAGGCGTCGGTGGTGATTCTGTCCAAGTTTACGATTTGAACGCACCGCTACAATTTCCCTTTCGGGCATCTCAACCGTCCATTTATTGTTGGATCAAGATGAACTTTTTCTCCCCACCTGTTTGACGATTTACCCGTTTCGCCTACCTGGCATACTAGTTCGGGCCCACAAGCAGTCGGCCGCCGCCTCCAACCGAAATCGGTGGCTATCCTGCAACTCTTTTTTCCCTTCGTCACCTAATGGCCGTTTGATTGCCATCTCATCGCGTTAACTTTACGCGTGAGTCGGACGCGTGGGAATACCATTTTCTTCTACGCTGGTACACCATGCACCACTACAAAATCATTACCCATGGGAAGGCCCAGTCTCTCTCTCTCTCTCTCTCTCTCTCTCTGTCTCGAAGAACAAAGCTTGGTCGGCTGGCCATTTCTTCTCTCCCATCTTCTTATCAGTTGGCAACCAATGGCTGCTTTAGTGTTCCTCCTGATGACTGTGGCCATGTTTGGTGCTTCAGGTAAGCTCTAGAATAATTTCATTTTTTTCTTTCTTATATTTTTTTGTCATGTGTCTCTGAAAGATGATCTATTTTCTTTCGCCTTTTCTGCATGATTGTTCCTTTTTTCTCATGATTTATGAGGAGGGCAAAGATGTTTGTTCAAGTGTCCATTAGCCATGACTTAGCAGCCTCTTCTTCAAACACATGTCATTTCATCCTTTGGCTCAGATCTGTACTGTGTGTCCTCAGGATGAGTGTTTCTATTTTTCTATTTGAGATTGCTTTTCTCGGCCTTTTGTATGGCTGTCTTTGTTTATTACTACACAGATTGCACAGAAAATGGAATTCTGAGAACCACAAAAGCTAGTTATTGTAGATGGTTTGGGAGTGCAAATAATAAGAAGAAAAATATAAAGAAGATGGTTTGAAAGTCTTCTAAACTAGTTTTCATACTCCAGGTTCTCTTTTGTTGCTCATTATAATGTCCAGAAATGTAAGAGATGATCTAAAATCTTATATCCTCTTTCTTTTTGATTTTTTATTTTTCCTTGGGAAGATGCTGCTTGGTGTGTTTGTCGATCTGATTTGAGCACCACTGCTCTGCAAAAGACACTGGACTATGCTTGTGGAGCTGGGGCTGATTGCACTCCAATCCTACAAAATGGGGCTTGCTACAACCCTAACACAGTGCTTGCCCATTGTTCCTATGCTGCCAATAGCTATTACCAGAAGAAGGGTCAGACACAGGATGCCTGTGACTTTGCTGGCTCTGCTATGCTTAGCTCAACTGACCCAGGTGATCTCTAAGCCTCCTCTCAAAACACATCTTTCTCTCCATGCCCTTTGCTACATGCCATGGACACACAAGTAGATCAGTGTGGGAAGAAACTGATGTCTTTTCTGGTTTTTGCAGGAGGAAATGGGTGCACATACCCTGCCACTACAAGGTAATGGGATTGAGAAGAAATAAGATATATTCTAACTCTTTGTAAAAGGCATTTCTCCTTTTCCTCTGGCCTTTTTATTTCGGTTCGTTTAGGAAATTCAACCCTGAGCAATTTAAGCAACCTTGAAAGGTGTTCTAGAAGCTGGAAGGCTCCAATTTTTCTTGGTTTTGCTGGAGTGGACAGTTTTACAGCAACCTTCACTGATGATGGTGTTATGGTTCCTTGAATCCCAAACAATTTTAAGTTTCTCCATTCATCCAATTCTATCTTAAGGCAACTTTAGTTGTCTGTTCTGTGGATTCCAACTCTTCCTCTGCCTCTAACTGGGACTTTAAAATGCCAAGTTGCATTTTCTTTCATTTTCTTCTGTTTATAAAGCATTTGTGTTGTCATTATCCTCTAATCATCTAGTAAACCCATTGGGTATTTCACTATTTTTCTTGCTGGAACTTTGTTTTATCTTTTCCCCATAGTTTATTGGAATTGAAGGCCAAGGTTGAAACTCAAAGCTAGTTTTGCTAGATTAAATGCCTAGATGTGGTTGTATCAATTTCCTACCTTATTTTTCCACTTACATTGATCTGTCTTAAGCCCTAAAACTTTTTCATTCTTTTACTCTGCATCAGTGCTGCAGGCTCTTCAACCACTCCAACAAGCACAAGCACCACTCCAAGCTCCACAACTCCCAGCACCTTCACTCCAACCACAGGCACTACAGGCACTGGAGGAGTGCTGGGTGGCCTAGGCCCCACAGGAACAACTAGCATTGATGGGAGTGATGGTGGCCTGATTCCAAACAAAGGGATGCCTTCTCTCCTCCTAACCTTTTTGCTCTCTCCCTTGGTTTTATTGAGGCTTTGATATGAAGATATTGGGAAAGTTGGAATGCAAATTGACGGGTGGATCAGGTTGTGCAACAAGCATGTGATATTACTACTGATGAATGGTTGGTGGATGCATCTAGAGACATTAGCACACTAGTTTTGTTGTCTAGTGGCAACATAGGAGGTTTTTTATTCCTTTTGGGTGGATGGTGCTATGGGTTGGTAGGATGGATGTGTTACTCTCTTGTTCTTCATGGACCAGTCTCTCTCTCTCTCTCTCAAATCTAGGGAGGCAGCAATTTATTGATTAAATGAGGTTTTGGGTGCCCTCCCTAGTTAGGTTAATGTGCAACTAGCTTTGATGCCAATGAATAGTATGATCTGTTACAATTTCTCTTTCTATGATTTGGCTGTCTTGGTGTTCTTTGTGTGGTGGGAGAGATTTTTGGCCCCTCAAAGTTTGCACTGTCACTTTTATGAAGTTTCCATCAATTCAAATAAGAAATATTAAATGTGATAAGATTGCTGAATTTTGAAGTATTTGTGTCAGAATCCCTTGGTCTACAAAAATGAAATGTCTGGAAAAAGTAAAAGAGCTGTAATTGTTGACAAGTGATGATAGTCTGACATAAACTTGGACCTTGATTCTATTGATCTGGATTTCTTTGTTGAATGATTTGATTGCATGTGTTAAATGTTTCTTGGGAGTTGTCATATCAAATATCAAAAAGTTTCAAGTCATCCTTAATCACACAGAAATAAATACAAATGCTAGAAATACAAACTTGTCCAAATCCACAGAGACTATGGAGAGACATCATCATAATTAGGACTTGATATAAAACTAACTCATTAATTTGATTGATCTAAATTCTAAATGCTTATGCTCCAATTTATATACATAGATTCATTGAACTACAAAAACCAACACAAGCATAGTTTGCACATGGATTTAAAACAACTCTCAAAACAAATCCTAGTTTGATTGATATTGATTGCATATGCAGTTGAACTAATGCCAACAAGCAGATGAGCACCATTTTCCTTCTCCAATCAAACATTGCATACTAATCACATGCTAAGTTTCACACGTATTATGACAGTAATAGAGGCTTGCATGACATTGACATGATCATGAAATGGTTCTTTTTCTTAGTTATAGAGATCAATTGAAACACAAATCTCAATCCAGTTGAAATCAAAGACAAAAGGGAAAGACAAAGAGAAACAGAAGTGGGGAAGAGAAGATGAAACGACCTGATTGATGAGGATGACCAAGCTTTCTCCAACATGTGATTGTCATCTTTGCTTTTCCATAACTTGAATCTACCAATCATACGTCTCACCACCGGCAAGGATTTCCAGTTTGTGCACCAATAGAAGGAACCTAAATATAACCTGAATGATCTCGGTCCTCGATCCCATCAATCTCGGCGACTTGGCATCATTCCCTTTAATTACAGCCACGATTTGTGCTTGTCAAGGTGCCTATTCTGGGTTCCTTTTCAGTGGCATTATTGCCAGCACTTTGAAGCATAGATTTATCAACCATATGAACAAGGTGCACTTTGATTCCATGTTCAATCAGCTCACCTTGCCTGGTATACCTTGAAATCTACGCAAGTAGCAAAAAGCAAAGACATCTTCAATGGTGGAGTTGCATAAAGCTCAAGAGGCAGGTAGACTCTTAAAATTCTACAATGACATTGCTCCAACTCAATCTTAGTCTCTCTGTTGCACAACACATGACCTCTTTGACTTCTCATGACCCATATATCAAGACACTTGTTTGGAGGATCACCTCCATCATTTTAGAAGCCCCAAGAGATGAAAATGGAACCTGGAAATGAATAAAATCAGAATTATCATCTTAAGCAAGTCTTTAATCTAAAGAATTTATCCACAATAAAAGAATATTTACTAGAATTCAGACTGATGTATAACATTAAATGATGCAGACTGATGCATAACAAAACAATGTTAATGTGTAACATTAACAAGTGCTGCAAATTTGCAGTTCTATGATTATTGTTTTACAGCCAAGACTCATATTGAACTTCATAATACCTGCGACTCTGAGCGAGACCAAGAAACAAACTGATCAGTTTGTTTGAAGTATAGCTTAACAGTTCTGGGATGAGGTTTCAGAAGGGATTCCTCATCAGCTAGAACCTTTAACTATGATTGAAGAAAACAAACAAACCAACCTTTAGAAGCCTACACAATGAACTGCATACAAAAAAGAAGATGGAGAGACATGCATCAATCTCATAAGTACTATGCATATCAAGGACAATTCAGCAACAACACAAAACAAAAAAATTCTGATGGACTGTACAGACCATTGACAACAGATGCACACAGATTTAAACCAATAAGATAACCAGAGGTTCAGTAAAAAAGTATTCAGAAGTTCCATTTTAAAGAAAGAGCTAATAAAATTAAATTGAACAAAATCTGTATAAAAGAAATTTCTATGAGAACCAAATAAAAATCAAAATCCTGAATATATAGCCAGTAAAACTTAGCCTTTCCATGAGGTATCACTCCATATTGTACAAGCCCATTGGCACAATGGAAAACAATGTTCCATAAGTAGGTTCTATTACCATATACTACTTCCCCAACAATAGGCCAAAATCAACTAAGTTGTATGGAAAAGTCAAGGTAATATGATTCAGATCATCCAATGAATGAGAATATTCATATCATTCAAGTCAACTTAAAAGCCATCTTAGATTGTTCTGGTGGACTTTTGCTCATAATTAGTAGTTATAAAAAGCAGGGGACTTACAAGATAGCAATTCAAAATTTTTGAAGTAGACAGATATGTTAGGCCATAAGATCTCTTTCATGTAGATATTAAAATGCTTCAAGAAAGGAAAACGTGTAAGCAAATTAGTATAACAATATTGGTCATGCTTATGATAACAAGAATCAGCTTGTTGATCATCAAGGGTTAAAAATGGTATTCAGGCCAAGGATTGTCATACTGCCCGAAACAGTATCAAAAGGGCAGTACATACGGGTCCGAGCGTGGACCGGTACATGGATCACCCCCGTTTCGGGCGACCCGATCCAACTCAGAAAAAAATTTATAAAAAACCTAAAATAATGGTGGGCCCCATCCAACTCAGCACTAAGAAAAGAAAAAAAAACGTAAAATAGAAACTAGGGCCCACGTTCACATTCAATGCTGTTGCCACCGCCGCTGCTTCACGACGCCACTGTCGTCACGTACCTTCTTCTTCCCAAGTACACTACCACCTCTTCTCCTCCTCCACTGCTTTTTCTTCTTCCTTCTCCACCACTTTCTCTTCTTCCTCCTCTTCCTCCTTTCTTCCTCTTCCTCCACCTGCCCTTCCTCTTCTTCTTTTCCTTCCTCTCCAAAACGTTGATATGTACCAGTGTACTGACACACGATACACCGATATTGATCGGTATACCGATCTGACAAGTCACCAAAGCGAGTCCGGTACCCAAAACAATGATCCTTGATTCAGGCTAAGGTTTTTGGGAAAATCTAAACCATACAAGGCAACAATGATCCAAAAAGAATCAATCAGAACAATTTTCATTGTCTACAATGACTAGGAATGATAAATTCAGAAGCTTCAAGAAGACAATCAGTTTTTCTCGACACTGATTTAACAACAGTTAATAGCTACACCAGAAAAAGAAAATGTGTTGATGTACAGACAGGACTCTTTTGATTGAAGAAGACATTTTGACCTTGAACTTTTCCCTGGCTAAGTTTTTTGTAACAGTTATTGTGAAAATGGTTACAAACTAGCTATATTGACCTAAATTTACTGATTTTTCCTAGTTGCCGACATCTCCCTGAACCAATTCAATTTAGCAATCTTTGAATATGGAAGCACCAATTCTCTGCTCTAGGTGGAAGTAAATTTGGAATTCACTCAAGCACTGAACATTTTCAAGCTGGAATGAACTGATGCATACTGACTTGGTAAAGATTGCATACATAGTGGATTTTGTATTTGTTTGAACTCCTCTGTGAAAGAAATCATAGTTGACTCTTATAGTTTTAAGACATTATCTTGTTTGACTCTGTAGACAATAATTTAACTTCATCACTTGTACAGACAGATACGACCATGTCTTGTCCAATTGAATTTATATGTTTGCAAACTCCAATGACTTCTGAATCTTTCGTAATTTATTTTCCAATACATTTGCAGACTACGGTATGTGGATGAGCATGCCTTGTCCACCATTCACATAATAAATTTTGATGCAGCATTTTCCTTCAAGGTAGGCTTTTTGCTTGGATAGAGTTTTATACGAAGTCAGACTCCACATCTTCATGCATTAAGACCAGCCCAATTTTTGAAGGCTATTAATGCTTCCAACTTCCTGAAGTTTCTCCTCCTAATTTTTGATATCCTCAACTTTTTGTGGTTCTCCATGAAGGCTTGCTTATGCCTCCACTTGTCAATAAAAATCTTCAGCTCCTGTGCCTTCTCGACGACCTGCATTGCTGCATCAAAAAATCCACCCTTCACCATGGCATATAAGAAGGCATCCACTAAATCATGATCGAATTGAACAAACTCCTTCTTCCTGATGTCTGTCCAAAGTATTAACACACTGAAGCACTTCTCTCCAGACACATAGCCATTGATGAGCGACAAATATGTCTGGTTATTTGGTTCGAATCTCAGGAAAATCATTCTTCGGTATGTCCTTTGAGCATCCTCCAAACGACCAACCTTACAGAAAGCATGTATTATGGAATTCCAATCGTGTGTAGCAATCTCAATTCTTGGGTCATCGACCACAGTGTCCAAGAAGGAAGCCATGAGCTCAGGCCGATTGTTCTCTGTTAACCCTGTCATGATAGTGAGATAACTCGTCTTAAGATCAGGAATTCTTGCCTCTCTCATGTCCCTGAAAAGAGAAAATGCTGATTGGAAATCTTGAGCTGACATAGAAGCATCGATGAGGGCATCATAGCTGTTTGCATCTAATTGAAGCCCAGCGGCGCTGATCTCTGTCACCAATTGGGCAGCTTCTGCTGTTCTTTGCTCTTTGCAGTATGCTTTTAATATTGATGAGTACACGCCAAGCCCTACTGGAGCTCCTTGAGCATTCATTTCATCAAGAATGCTGTGTGCCTTGTCCAGAAGATTCAGCCCAACGCATGCATTAACAATTCCAAACCCGATTGACCTATCAATGCCAACTGAATCTTGTGATGACTCCAGTTCTTGTGCCTGGATAATCAAACTAGCCAAATCTTTGATTCTGCCACCATCTGTGAAACCCTTCACAACTTCCCCGTAGGTATCTTCATCCAAACAATATGAACTTTTATCATGTCTCTCTTTCAGAGCCCGCAAAATTTCAGAAGAAACCGATTCAAGAGAACCAGACTTCACGTATCCACTAATCAGATTTTTTAAAACGATCATCTTGTCTGAGAAACCCAATGCGTCCATCAATTTGTCCAATTCAACGATCCTGCTCTCAAGGCCCTTGGATGCATACAAAAAGGCGAGCGACCCAAAGCTCTGCAGATCCGGTGACATGCCCATAGTGGACATTATCTCAACCACCCGCTCCGCAGCGGCTACTGACCCGAGCTCACGGCAGCACCCGTCTAAAACCTCATTGCAGGAGGCCATGTCAGGCTTCATTGGCTCGACATTCTCGTCCAGCACAAGGCGGCAACTTTCTTCGAACACGCGCAAGAAAGCGTCGAAGCAGCCGTTCCTCCTCGTGATCCGGATCAAGAAGCTCCCCCATGCGGCGAACGGAGGAAAAACCCGGTTCTTGAGCATGGAGCGGACGAGCGCGAGGGCAGGGGCGGGGGTATTGGCGGAGTCCATGGCGCGGAGGAGGGCCTCGAGGGAGGCAATGGAGAGGGTTCCCGGGCGGCGCTCAAGGAGGAAGACGGCGGCGGCAAATGCACGTTTGAGATTGTGCCGGTCGCGGAGGGAGGCGAGGTGGGCGACGAGAGCGTCGGCGGCGTCGGGGCGCGGGAGTCGGGGGACGGAGGCGAGGGACTTGAAGGACTTCCATGCGTCGTCAGTGCGGCTGGATCGGAGAGCGGACAGGAGGTCGGACTCGAGAGCGGCGGTGTCTTCTGGGGTTAGGGTTTTGCCGGGAGAGGACAGGGAGGTGGGCGAGGGCGAGGGCGGGGGGTTTTGTGGGCCTTTGGTGGTGCGGATGGCGAAGATGGAAGGTTGGAGAAAGGAATAGAGAGTGGGGATCTCGGGGTAGGAGGAGGAGGAGGAGGAAGAAGACGAAGAAGAGAAGGATTTGGGATGGCAGAAGTGGAACAGAGGGAGGAGACGTCCTCTCAGCATTTCTGCGGTGCGTTTGACCGAGTTCTTCCTGGCCGAGGGACGCCGCCGATGCCTAAAAGTGTTATCGGATCGGATCCAAAAACCTATATCCATACTCGATCTTTCGGGTTGGATCCATTAGGTATCGGATTTTGATGCTCGCTGTTGGATCTAAAGCTACAGTCCCACATGCCCCCTCATACTCCTATTGGATCCCAAAAACAATTTCGTATTTTGATACAACATCGTCATTGCAATTTTATCCTTATAAATCATCTTCCATTTAAAGAATACTTAAATTTATGTGAGAACGACGAAGAAATTTGCTTTTTTTTTTTTTGTGTTATTGGCAATCTCATTATTATTAATAATATCAAAAAAATAAAAATAATAAAAATAAAAATTTACTATTTTGTATTTTCTCTATTATTAATTTTATTTTTTGTGTTTCTCATAAATCCATAACTTACTTCCACTCTCTTATCGCTCGATATCGTTTGACGTTTTGCGATGCCCTTACAATATTACTCGTATGAAGAAAAAAGAAAAATATATATTAGGAATATTAAAATTTTAAAAAATGTAAGTTTACTATTGGCAACCTTCATCTTGCCATTTGCAATTTCCTTACTATTTGAGATATTTATAAAAATAATAAATATAATTTTATTATTTATAATCCTTCAATTACCAATCATATCTTTATTTCTATGCCTCTTTATTTCATTTGTCGAAATCTTAATTATGTTGATGTTGTTTCCCATCATTCTTTTCGACCCTATTAGTAACTTCTAATTAGAAGGAGGAGGAAGAGGATGATGATAAAAAAGAAAGAAGAAGAAAGAGAGCATTTAGTGATATATGATGCTTCATGATGATGATGATGCTGTAACTTAAAATGTTATGGTACACATCATGCTCGGATGTTATTTTCAGTAATATATATGATGCTAATTTGCCAAATAATGATCGTTATTTTTCATTATAATGCAGCTATTAACACTAAAAGTATACAACGCTGTAAGAGAATTGGATCGTATGTGGGAGAGTAAGACTATCTTTCTCTTTGTTCTTGCATCAGAAAACCCATGGAAGCAAAGAAGGAAGAAGAGGTCTTCTCAGGTATTCTAAGAACACCTCCTGTTTGCCGCATGGCCGAAGCGTATTAGCGTAGGGAATGAACTTGCTGAAGAAGCGGGACGAGCTTCCTATCTGCTGCGACTCCCCGTCCTTGAAGCTGTAACTGTACGCGTTGTACCCGTCGCTGTAAACCAGTAGCATCCCCGTCGAGCCATGGCTCAGCACGAAGGATCGCGCGTAAGGGATCGAGCTTATCTCGTGTGACATCACCCACTGCGGCGAGCCTTCGTTCTTCCTTCTTAGCATCCACAGGGTGAAGGTGGCAGCATTCACGCTATAATGGATCAGGCATGGCAGTCTCTCGTCCCACATCCCCACCTTGATCGTGTCTTCGTCGGAGTCGATGACGGCTCCCTCCGGCACCGGGATGATCTCCGTGCGCTTCGTCGTCGTGTCGAAAGCAACGACGTAGGGGTCGGGCATTCTCAAGTAGCTGACGCAGTCGGACGCCCAGTACACCGTCTCACCGCAGACCACCGGGTGGTCGTACTCTAACTCCCTCGGCCCGAAGTCGATCTCCTCGTCCGTCGTCCACGCATTGGCGGCCGAGTCATACACGCCGCAGTGGTGAAACAAGATGCAGTCGGTGGCTTCAGTGAGGCAGATCAGCTTGTAGTCCTCCGCCATGTCATCGCCGTCGTAGACAAATTTCACGGCGACGCTGACGCGCGTTTCCTTGCCGAACTTTTGGCTCGGCGAGGAGGGAAGCGTCCGCCATGTCCGGCGGGCCGGGTTGCACACGCACAAGCTCCCGTGCTCATCATCCCAGTACCGCTTCCTCTGATAGAACACGAGGCCTCCGGCTGAGGCGAGGACCTCGTCGCTGTAATTGAAGTAGTCCGGGAAGCTGGCGGGGATTCCGGCGTAAGGGTCGACGAGGAGGAAGCCATACGGACCATAGCCGTCCCGGTAAAAGAAGCCAGATGCGGACTTATTATGGCCCGCCTGCTCGAGGAGGAAGCGAGGATATTTGGAGAGCTCGTGGAAGCGCTTGGCGACGAGCTGCAGGCGAAAGAAAGCCTTCGCCGGGAGGTAGGAGAAGACCACCGGAAGTATATCGTCGTCGAGATAAAGGGCGACCTCCGAAAGCGCATCGTCGGCAACGCGAGCGCTGCTTCTGGGCTTTCGCGAGCAACCTCGGAAGAGGGTCAAGAGGAAGATGGAGCCCATGCTGATGCCGTCTTTCCGTTGACTCACGACGTCTGCACATATATATAGAGATCCTTGCAACCGACGCTCGGAATCCTCTCCTCTGTAGGAGGTAATCTCCTAATATATCTAAAACTCAATCTCCTAAGTAGATATAACTTCCAATATATTTACAGAAATTCCAGATGGAAAATACAATCGGAATTAGGAGCTATGTGTACATTAATCCAATATATTTCCTCCTGCCTACCGTGGACGAAGAGAGCAGGCCGCTGTTAGGCCCGCTAAGGCATCAAAGTAAGCCCATTAAAGGCCTAATAACGACAAAACTGCATCGCCGTCCATTTTATCTTGGACGTCCATGATTGCGGGAGGCGTTCACCGTGTGCTCCTCAATCCCTTACCCATTTGGCGTTAAAACGAAATAGGACGGACGTCATCGAGCAAAATTAATTCTCCAAATCTCGAATCGCATTCTCCGAGCGACGAGCCGAGGCGCTCTTAGGGTTTCGGGAGGGACGAGCTCTTAAGGCGGTCGACGATGGCGATGGCGGCTCTCAGAAGGGAGGGGAGGCGGCTCCTCCTCTCCCCCGTCTCCTACAACTCCCCCGTCGCTGCCCGATCCGCGATTCTCTCTGAGTAAGCACATCGATCGGTTCTCGGTGACTTCCAGTTGGTTTGCCTGGATCTGTTGGCGATCGCTGGTTTCTGTTGCATGGATGTAGTAGAACTTCCTTCTTTTGGCTTTGTTTTACCGGATCGATCGTAGAAATGGATGCTTAGGCCGACTCAATCTTCATTTTGGAGGGAAACATAACGCGGATAGATTTTCCTATAGACTAAGATAAATGGGGAATCGTAAAATTACCTTGTCTATTTTGCTTGAATGATTCGTATTTAGGGACCAGCCGGTGCGCTGATCTTTTGTTATGTTCCAGCCAAATGAACTCTATGCAAGTCGTCATCGTACTGTGATTACGTTTTGAGCCATCTTCCTTATGATTGTTGTACATTTGATACACAGAAGCGATGGAAATTTTCACTGAAAGGTAGCATCACACTGCCTTAGTGTAAAACATAGGAAACTGTGAAAGAAGAATTGTTCTGTGTTAAAGCCGTTCACATTGTTCAACACCACATTGATAGATGAACTATCCTTGTTTAATAATAATCTTTTTTTCTCGGGAAGATTATCTAGGACTTATATTAACAGTTAAATTCTCAGAGATATAATTAAATTAATGGCCCAAAGCCTTGTATGAAGAGTTTTATTTGGTCAATGCCAAACAGTTTTACCATAAGAACCTGATACTTACCAACTCTCTCTGTGTTTTCTGAATGAAAGATACTTACAAACAATAATATGAAAGCAAAGCAATTGTACTATGTTTACACAAAAAAACATCGTTATCAATTGGCTATTATGCATCCACAAAGTGAAGCTTGGCAAAATGAACAACCTTATTCATTTAAGAAAATATGATGACAACAATGTATAAGCAAATTGATAACATCAATTTTCAACAAACTTTATCATCATAATGTTAAGTAGCTTATATGTGGAGAGACCAACTGAAACATCAAAGAAAGTACATTGACAGAAGCTTTTATACTTGGCAGAATTTTTTCTTACATATTATTGCATCATCGAAAGTTTTATTTTCTAGACTCTTTTCAGAAAATTCTTCTCATTCATGTTTTAATCCTTGAGTTGCTAGACCTCTAGCTACCTTTTCATTCATCCTTTTGCAATGGATCATATCACAAACTTCTTTCCCTACTCATCCAGATGCACTGCAATCTTCCTGAAATTTTGGAGTCTTTTTTAATCAAATTTGTAATGCACATGTGCTGTTTGATTCGGGTTCAATGCATGGACTGTTACTTTTATTGCCTGCCTATATCATTACATTTCTAACTCGGTTGTCAATTAGCAGTGAGTTGGGGCCAATGGGGGCACGCTCAGTTTCTACTCAAGCAGGTACAAGGCTCTATCAATCCACTTTCTTTTCCTTTTTGCAAACAGAAATAGGTGAATGCATTTGGAAGGTGATTTTGCTTTGTTCATCTCTCTGCAGTCAGAAATCGGATGAAGAGTGTTAAGAACATTCAAAAGATTACCAAGGCAATGAAAATGGTGGCAGCATCAAAGCTTCGAGCTGTTCAAGTCAGAACTGAGAACTCCCGTGGGATTTGGCAGCCATTTACTGCACTTCTTGGAGATAACCCAAGTATGATTTCAGATTCCATTCTTTTAGTGCATAGATGCTTGTAGAATGATTAACTATGAGAAATATCTCTTACTAGAGCCCTTCCGATTTCTCATTAGAAGGTTTTTATACATGCACATTTTTTAACCTTTTGATTGTTGTTTCATTTGTTGGCTGTATCTTTAAGCCTACTAATGATTACGCGAAACACTGAGGCAAACATAATAATTGAAGGCTGTGCATTTTTATCCTTGAGTCTTGTCAGAATTTTTTTGTATTTTTACAAATTTAGAGGTTTTAAGTTCTACTTTGGGCACCAGGATATGATTGGAGGATTAATATCAGGCTAGCAATTTTGTGCAGTCAAAAGATTGGGCTATCTAGATATATTTGTATAAATTTGTCAGAGAAACTAAGTAGTAAAGAGGAAAAAAAAACAAGTGCATTAGGTAAACTTTTGTAATATGCCAAAGATCCAAATTTCCTTCTGATATCAGTTTCATGTAATTTACTGGACCAATATAACATCAGTTTATAGAGCCATATACTGATCCGACCATCTGGTGTCACCAAAAAATAAAATAAAAAATAATACTGACTGGTCAGTGGTCGGATGGGTAAATACTGATGCATACCAACAGATAATTGAATCTACGGAATCTGCTTTGCCTGACCGATGTTTGAATCAATGGAATATGCCATGCCTGGTCAGCTTATTGATATCAGTGCTTGATTAATCTGTTGAGTTTTAGTATCAGGGTTTACAGAATAATGGATTTTGTGGAGCTAGCGTGTTAGTCTTCCATCCAGGTAGGAGGTAATCCTCAACCAAACAAAAGTCAAGCAACAAAGGATGAATAATGCTTGGTGTTTGTGGTTTGTTAGATGCTTATATTGACTTCTTGAGACATGGTTTTAGAGTTAAGGAGTGATTAACTGTAATCCTATAATTTTTAAAATTGTTAGAGATTTAATATGCATTACAATTTCTCTATAGAGATTATCTAGCGAATTACTTTGTTCATTGTGTACAATTACCTACTCTTAAGTAGTGAATATGCAAGCTGCTATAAGGCTACAGCATGTTAGGAAAGTTTTTTGTTTGTGAGATTTGCATATACTGTGATGAAGTATTTCTTGTTCACATGTTTTTAGTTACCTCGTTATTCTACTATTCGCTTTGTTCTATTGTTTTCAAAGCATTATATTTTATCCTTTTAATGCTTGACTTTTACCTCTTTGTTTCTTGTCTAGGTCAGCTTGTCTTTTGTTTCCACTCAGCTTGTTTTATGTAGATATTTTCCATTGTTTTCATTTTTTTTTAATGATCCATTGATCCTATTATGCATTTTGCTATTAGGCCAACCTTCAAAGCATTGTATTCTATCCTTCTGAATTTTTACCTGTTTGTTCCTTTTTGTCTAGGTCAGCTTGTCTTCCGCCTTCACTCAGCTTGCTATATGTATATATCTCCATTGTTCTTAGTTTGACAATATGGCTTGTCGCATTTCAGGTGTGGATGTGAAGAAGAATGTTATTGTGGCTATTACATCTGACAAGGGGCTCTGCGGAGGCATCAACTCCACATCAGTCAAAGTCAGCAAGGCTCTCTATAAGTTGACTTCTGGTACCGTTCATATATGATCCACAACAGAGTAGCTAGAAATTGTTGAAATTCTAATTTCAGCAGTTGTTGCCCTCAGGTCCAGAAAAGGAAACTAAATATGTCGTATTGGGAGAGAAAGGGAAGGTTCAATTGGTGCGTGACTCAAAAAATAGCATTGAGATGAACATCACTGAGTTGCAAAAGAATCCTCTCAATTACACTCAGGTCAGCTCTATGTATGGTTCTGATTTCTTTAGCGACAAAATTGAACTTCTTATTAAAAAAAAGAGTTATGAGAGTGATGTTAATGAAAAAGATTCATGGATAAACTGCTGAAAAGAGATTAAACATGTGCAAGGGATGAGGGGTAATGAATTTTACATTTGTTTCCCTCATCCTAAGAAAGCAAAGTAACATGTAGCCAGACTTACTGCTTCATCTCTTCTCTTGATCACGGTGCCCAAGAACAAAGTTATTCTTAATGCTTGCTTACAGCCACTATGAAAGATTGATGTCTAGAAAACCACATGCTGGTTCATGCAAGATATGGTTACTCACTGAAACTTCTGGGGTCCCTTTTAGATAGCTATTGTGAATATTCTATTTTTGGATGGTTACAAAAGAATTGTATACTTCTTCCGACAGCAATTACTACAGTTCTTTATGTTTCAACAGCTACCTAAGAGCTCAAGTACAAACATAATTGTTACTGTTATACAGGTGATTGTCCAATAAGCAACCGCAACAATTTGCTCTGGAAGCATCATTTTACTGACTGTTGATATCGCTAAAGAATTACCCTGAAAAGAATAGGATCTACTGTATACATAAGCATGCACCATGATCATAAAACACTAGGATGTGTGAATTAAAAGGTGTAGAACTTAAATAAGAGACTGAGACAGAGAAGTCAATACATAAGTTATTTTAGCAAATAAGTTACTTCATTAAATAAGTGATGTAGATAAGATCATTGATACCTTCGCTGTTCATACATAACTAGACAAATTTTATTTTTTTTCTAGTGAATTCCTAACTTAAAATACAACTAGGACAAACTTTTGAGAGACATCACTAGTACTTAGAAGTTGGTGAAGGTGCCTGAGTTGACATGATTTAGAATTTTCCAAACTCAGTAATCATATCACTTGGAACTATCTTTAATAAACTCTCAGGTCTAGATGACCGGAAAAACAAAGTCAAAT